TAACCAGTATTATAATCAAAATCTTACAGATAACAGGTAAATAGAGGATAAGATTGGCTGGCTCAAACTTTATATCTCAGATTGAAAATTCCATAGTGCTTAGGTAACAGAAGAAGGAAAACGAAAGAGGAATGTCTTGAGTGCCTAGTGTAAGTCCAGTCTTATAATTCTGGTGCATTTTATCCTCAAAAAACCTTTCAGTTTGATTCTTATATATCCATTATAGAAATAAGGAAAATGAGGGTTATGGATTTCCACTAACTTTTTCATAAGCACATATATGGAAATGCCAATTTAGTATTTAAATCCAAATCCCTCTTACCCTTCCACTGCACTATAGTGCTTCCTTTCTTTCTACATAAAGAAGTGGGACAATAACCAAATGCTCCCATTCTGGGACCCTAGAGCGTCAGCTATATAAATTTGCAAATATAGGAGGTGTAGTGGAGTCTACTGTTTGTCCCCATTATTCATGTTCCTCTTCTTTATTATTAGAATCCTTTGACTTTTAGCGAGGCACATGGTTTCCCCGTAAAATACTATATTTCTCATCCTTTATTGTAGCTAGGTATTATCATGTAGCATAACTGAGTTCAGAGCCAAAGATGTTTATGAAAGTGATATAGGCAAATTCAAAGTCCACATCTGAAAGACAAAGTTGTTTACTCTATTTTATTGTTCATTTATTGGCTTGCAACGACTGGAAGAATCTTGGAAGCCATGACTTAAGGTCAGTAGTATTTTCCATTAGCCCTGGGCTGCTTATGCTTGGGCTGCTAATGTGAGCACGAAATATTTAATTTACTGTACACTGAGTTTTTTGTTACAACAACTTAGTACTCCAATGGATAGAGGGTCATTTATAAAGAAGTGTGATACTGAGGTTTTATATGCAAATGTTAAATACAAAGTTTAATTCACTAATCCTACTATCAGAAAATCTGCATATTATATCTATTTTTCTGATGGCATACCCTTTTTATTATTCTGAATTTAGTTCTTCTTTCAAAAATAAATAACAATACCCTACTTTTTATGGTTCAAAAATAGTATGAAAGACTTCCACTATTATTTATGATGGAGTGCTTGGTACCAGATTTCTCTTTTCTCCAAAAACATCTAAAAACTTGGAAAAATATATGAGAATAATTTTCAAGAACTGAACAACATAGTGCAGGACTCTGATAATTGCGTTAAGCCACCAAATCATCCCACAATTGTCCTCGTCTTTCTTCTTGGGACTCACCTTGCCATGAAGTAGGGAGGTAGAACCTAAGCAAAGAGTGGGTCTTACTGAGTTGAGAAGAGAGATCAGAGTGCAAGCCACATAAAAGGCTAGTACATGAGGACCACGGTACCCAAGAAGTGAGACCTGTGCAGAGGGCTTCTTCAAAAGTTTGTCTGGATGTCCATTACGTGCCTTGGCCCATGTAGAGGCCAAGATGTCAGTGAGGCCTTAGGAGAACTTATGAGGCTAAGAGATGAACAGTGACAAAGTCTTGCAGCAATAGGATATGTTACATTCAATCCCAGCTCAAGTTGGGAGCCTCATTAAGTGCCTTAGGCATTCAACTGAAACCACAAATAGACAATGCATTAGAGGTAAGAATCATGCCCTAGAATAAAGTGTATTTCCTAGATCTAAGTTCAAAACTGAAATAGACCTGTCAACAAAGAATAAAAACAAGACTAAAAGGCCAAAGATACCTAATTTAAATGCTGTCAGAAAAAATAATCAACACTGTTTAAAAGGAAAAGATAAAGCCAGCCCTGTGGCTTAGCAGTTAAGTGCGCGCGCTCCGCTGCTGGCGGCTGGGTTCGGATCCCACGCGCGCACCGACGCACTGCTTCTCCGGCCATGCTGAGTCTGTGTCCCACGTACAGCAATTAGAAGGATGTGTATCTATGACATACCACTATCTACTGGGGCTTTGGGGGAAAAAATAAATAAATAAAATTTAAAAAATAAATAAATAAAAGGAAAAGATAATCCACACTTCCTGTGCTTATTCCTAGTGTATAATCAATACTTATGAGACACGCAAAGAAAAAAAAAAAGAAAGTAGAAAAAAATAAATCATAGTCAAAAAAAAAAAAGAAAAGGGAGGCAATAGAAACTGGTTCAAAGGTAAACCAGATGTTCTAATTAGCAAACAAGGATTTTACAGTCACCATTGTAAATATTTTCAAGGACAATATGATCATCATGAATGAACAGTTAAAGAATATCCACAAAGAAAGGACCAAGCGGAACTTTCAAATAAGAATTCACATATCAGAAATGAAAAATTTACTGGGTGGGCTTAATATGCATTTGTAGATAGTAGAAGGAGTGTCCATTTATTGAAGATATAAACAAAATTATCCAACCAAAACAAAAAAGAAATGTTTTTCTTTCTTGTTCGTATTTTAAAAGAAGTGAAAGAATGTTAATGTTGTGTGGGACAATTTAATGTCATCTAACATGCATACAATTGGAGTTTAAGACTGAGAAGAGAGAGAAGGAGCAGAAAAAAATATTTGAAAACACAGTGACTAGAACATTTCCAAGTTTGAAGAAAAAGCATAAACTTACAGAAATGAGAAGATCAGAGGGGCCGGCCGCGTGGCTTAGAGGTTAAGTGGGTGTGCTCCGCTACTGGCGGCCCGGTTCACATCCCGGGGGCACACCAACGCACTGCTTGTGCAGCCATGCTGAGGCGGTGTCCCACATACAGCAACTAGAAGGATGTGCACCTATGACATACAGCTATCTACTGGGGCTTTGAGGAGAAAAAGGGGGAAAAAAAAAGGAGGAGGATTGGCAATAGATGTTAGCTCAGGGCCAGTCTTCCTCAGCAAAAAGAGGAGTAGTGGCACGGATGTTAGCTCAGGGCTGATCTTTCTCACAAAAAAAAAAAGATCAGAGAACCATAAGCAAAATAAATACAAGAAAACCACATTCATGTGTCCCATAGTCAAATTGCTGGATACCAAAGATAAAGAGCACCATGAAAACTTACAAACAAGAGAAAAATAGGTATGATCTTTGATTCCTCATCAGAAACAATGGAGGATAGATACGATAGAACATCACTAAAGTGCTAAAATATAAAATAGTAATTAATAATGATAATACTATCCTATGATAATTAAGAATCTAAAAATAATTAATAAATGAAAGTAAAATAAAAAATTTTCAAATAAAACAATTTGAAGTCAGTAGACTTGCAATTCAAGAATTGCTTAAGGAAACTATTTAAGCCGAAGGACAGTCACGTCACATACATATTAGATCTACAGGTTCGAAAGGAGACCACCAGATATGTAAATATACGGGTAAATATAAAATCCAATGCATTTTTTATTTTTATCTCTTAATGCCTTAAAAAATATATGATAGGTAAAGAAAAAAATTTAACCATATACTGTGGGTTTTTAATCTAGGTAGATTCAATATGTACATAATAACAACAGTGCAAAGATCAGAGAGATGAAATTATACTGCTGTAAGATTCTTACATTCTGAGTGAAGTAATAAAACATTGACTGAAAGTAGAATATGGGGGGCTGGCCCGGTGGTGCAGCGGTTAAGTGCACGTGCTCTGCTTCAGCGGCCCGGGGTTAGCACATTCAGATCCTGGGCATGCACCAACATACCGCTTTTCAAGCCATGCTGTGGTGGCATACCATATAAAGTGGAGGAAGATGGGCATGATATTAGCCCAGAGCCAGTCTTCCTCAGCAAAAAAGAGGAGGATTAACATCAGATGTTAGCTCAGGGCTGTTCTTCCTACAGAAAAAAAAAGAAAGTTGAATATGGTAGTTAAGAATGTGAAGTGTAATTCCTAAAGCAACTGAAAAAAGTAATACAAAGAGGTATAGCAAAAAAACCAATATAAGAATATAAATGGAAGTAGGAACAAAAATTAACCCCCCAAAATGCTGGAAACAAGGAACAGAGAACAAAAGCAAAGAAAACACTTAGGAAAATGACTGATATACTCAAACAACGTCAATAATTACACTAAATATAAATGGAATAAATCGATTAAAATGCAGCAATTCTTCGAAAGGATAAAATACAAAACCAAACCCTACTGACCGCCTCCTAGTAGCATATTTTAAATATAAAAACATAAATAGGTATAAAGTAAGACAACAGAAATAGAATTACCATGTGAACATTAAGAATAAGAGCACTGGAATGGCTATATTAAGAGCAGAGAAAAATCCCTTTGAAGACAAGGAGTATCACCAGAGCTAAAGACTAGTATTTCATAATGATAGAAGGGTAATTCATCAGAGAGACATGTCACAAATGGACAGAAATAAAAGGTGAAGTAGACCATTCAAAAATTTTATTTGGAAACTTTTAACACTATTCTCTCACCAAATGGTAGACAAACCAGGAAATAATCTGTAAGGATGTGGAAAATCTGAAGAACACTACCAAACATCATGATTAAATTTGCAAAGAACACTATAATCTCTCAAGAAGATTCATCAAGTTAGTCCATTTGCTTGTCCACACAAAAAGTCTCAACAAAAGTCAAATAATTGAAATCATATGGAAAATGCACTCTAAAGTGTGACAAATTTGGCTTCCAAATAGATAATGATGGTAATAGATAGTAGCCCACAGAATAAAATAAGGATCCATAAATTCTATACTGAATATATGATGATGTAAGAAAAGCTTCTTCTTACAGTAGAATTGCAATTTATATTATATTGAAGATAGAAAATTATCAATGGATGCTAAAACTGGTGTAAGGAACAGGATATTGACACTATTGGATCTCAACCCATATCCCAACATATTACCTATTAATTATAAAAAGGAAAATAATAAGTTCACAGTAGACAGTCCTAGCGTATACTACTTTATACAAATGATCATAATACCATTGGTACTGAGATAATGTCACCAACATGTGTATATTGATATGATGCACTGAGAAACACAGAACATCACTTCTGTAGTATTCCTGCCAAAAATGCAAAGCTGAAATCTAACCATGGAGAAACATCAGACGAACCCAAATCGAGGTACATTCTACAAAATAACTGGTGTGTAGTCTTTGTAAGACTACTGGAACATAGCCTGTAAAGTCCATGAAAGACAAATATTCCACATTAAAGGAGAATAAAGACAAATAATCACTAAATGCAATATGTCAGCCTAGATTAGGCTTGGGACAAGGGTAAAAAAAACATGTAGGGTCAGCCTCAGTGGCCTAGTGGTTAAGTTTGGCACCCTCCACTTTGGCGGTCTGGATTCAGTTCCCGGGAGTGGGCCTACACCACTCATCTGTTAGTGGCCCTGCTGTGGCAGTGGCTCACATACAAAAAAGGAAGATTGGCAGCAGATGTTAGCTCAGGGCAAATCTTCCTCAGCAAAAACAAAAACAAAAAAAATTTAAAAAAAATATAAAAGATATTATTGGAATAATTGATAGTTCATTTGAGTAAGAATTACTGATTAGATAATAGTATTCCATAAATGTTAAATTTTTAATTTTAATATGTTAGCATGGTTATGTAAGAAAATGTGTTCTTAGGAAATACACACTGAGGTTTTTAGTGGTAAAGGAAAATAATATCTCAAAGTTACTTTCAAGTAGTTCATAAATGGTTTCTGTATGTTAAAATTATAACAAAATTAAAGGTTACAAAATAGTATGAGGATTATGAAATATGTTATTGAACTATTTTCAGTTCTTAAGTTAAAGATTTATATTTATATATCCAGAATATACTTGATCTTAGCAAAGGCTATAAGCACAATAAAAATGGATTAGTAGTTCCTACTGACTTAAAATGGTAACTATTCATAAACTATTTTGGTATTCTTGAATCAGGTCAAGTATATGCATCAATATTTCTCTTATTTGAATCTTTATGTTAACAATAAAGAAACAGCTATGTTTTTAAAATAGGAAAAATGTAATCTATTACTTCTAGTGTTCTTCATTTAACTAAGTGGTATAGGTCTTCTACTTTTAGGTTTTACTGTATTCGTCCACTACATTGTACTAGCTATCTGGCTTTGGATTGCTTGTCATCCTCTCACTGTGTCAGTTTCACCGATACAGTAACATTTCCTGTGTCATATGGGTAATGTGATTAACCAGAAACATAACCTAGCACATAATAAGTTATTACCAACTGTTATTAAATAAAGGCAGTATATGTGGTTTTCCAGAGATTAGAGCTAGATTGCCTGAGTTCAAGTCAAGTTTTGCCACTTCTTCGTGAGTGACTTGACCTCTCTTTGCATCAGTTTCCCCATCTGTAAAATGCAAATAGTAATAATAACTACCTCATCGAGTTATTATGTGAATAAAATCAATTAAGGTTTATGAACTACTTACAGCATTATGTGGAAAATAGCATGCAGTTCTCACATTAAATAATAATAATAATACTTCATCAATCATAGGTAATATACGTTACTTTTGTATTATTTTCCTTTGGCCAGCTCAAAGGTATTATTAACAGTACCTCAGCAGAACCCATATTACTTGAGAGTAAGTAATCTATTGTAGTGTAGTCTTTTTAAATTCACGTAAAGCACAAGTATAGTCCCTTGGGGCTATTACACATCTGTATTGCCATAGTTTTCACAACCTGGAAAAAGGAGAACTACTTCATTTTATTCCCTTTACTAGAGACGGTTTCTTACTTTAAATAGCTCTTTACAACTACTAATACATTATTTTGCTGAAAAACTCCAGTACTGAATTTATATTGGGTTTAAATTTCACCCAATACATTTACTTTCATTTCAATAACTGTTTTAATAACTATTTCAATAATGAAGTAGGATTATTTTAACATCTATAAAGGATATACAAACAATCAAAGTGTGAAAGAAAATCAACCAAACTTAGTAGGTGTTATGGTAGGCAGCTAAGATGATGCCCTCAGGGATGCCCACCTCTTGACATTCACCCACTTGTGTAACCCCTCTTCGTGAGTGTAGACCAGACATAGTTACTTCTAATCAATAGACTACTACTGTGGTGATAAGACACAACTTCGATGATTAGGTTAGGACAGATTGTGCCTTTTATCTCTTTCTAGAACACTTGCTCTATTGCTTTCTTGGCTTCCATGCTTTAATGAATAAGCTGCCATATTGGAGAGGTTCATTTGGCAAGGAACTCAGGGCAGAATCCGTCCAGCAACCACTAGGAACTGATTTCTGCTAACATCCTGTCCAGTTAAGATGACTTTGGCCCAGCCATCACATTAATTGCTGTCTGTGAGAGACCTTGAAGTAGAGAATCTAGTTAAAGCATGCACAGGTATTTGACCCCAGAAACTGTGATATAATACATGTGTGTTTTTTAAGCCATTAATTAAGTTTTGGGGTAATTTGTTATGCAGAATTAGAAAATGAATACAATGTTTTAACCATCAAGCGACTAAGAATGCATTTGACTATTTTAGGGTAAGATATCTTCAACAGATTAATTAATATGTATACTGTTGGTGTTTTGCTAGGAGAAATTTCTCAAAAAGTATATTTCTCAAAAAATGTACTCTTAGTAGAGCACAAGAACCCCAAGGTCATTTCAGTCTGGCTCCCATTTCATTTGATAATCCTCTCTCACATAGCCTAAAGTCAAAGAACAAAAATTTGGTTTTAAACCACCATTTTTATACTCATACAAACAAAACTTATGTGAGCTAAATTAGCTGTTAACTGGAATCTGTATTTTTCAAGACTATAAATAGACTTTTGCAAACGTATAAGCTAACACCGAAAATAAGTAACTTGGCCTTTCTAAAGATTTAAGAGTCCTTTGGGGTTGGATCAGTCCTGAACTTGAAGCTGCCTTTGGATGCTGTTAGACCACTGAATATTACCAGATTTGTACCTTTCGGGCAATCCAAAGTTACAGTGTATTATTAGATGGATCCTAGTTATAGAAAGGGCCACCTTGCTGGTAACTTCACTTCACAATGATCAGATATATACTGAGTGTCATCAAAATTATTCCAAGGAGGGAAATTTGAATATATGAAATCCACAATGGGTATATCTAATTTCTAATTTCCTAAATTGTTCTTATACTTTTTTCACTCTAATTTCCCCTATATTGCTGCCATTGAGGAGGGCAATTCATCTGGTAAAGTTTTTTTAGTATACCTCTTAATGAGTTGATTTCATACCTACCATATTTCCTGCAACATACCCTAAATAAGCAAACCACACTACAAAATATGCTTAACTCATGCATTATTTTAGAAAAACATTTCTTCTCTGATATTGAAATAGTTATTCTAATATAAAAATAAATTTCCCTTAATCATTTCTACACAGGAATTTAAATTATATTTATAGGGTCAATTAAATGGCATTGCATCATTGATGCCGTATTTCAATGTGAGTTTCAGAGAGATTCTATATTTTGAATTTCTTCTTTAAAGATAGTAATACAAAGAGAATCTGTTATAAGCACATAAAAACTTGATAAAGAAATAAAGAAATTCAGAATATTATTTTATATTTTAATATACATTCTGATATTTTATCCTAAGCTCAATACTTGCTAGGCAGTAACATAAAATTATTGTGTGCAAGTACATGTGTGTATGTGTATGAGTGTGTGTGCGTTTAATGTGATCTGAATTAGTTCTTTTATTAGTTCTCTGGTGTAAATAAATACTCAATAAACAGTTGGAGTAGCCATTAATCTTATGTGAGATAGCAAGCAAGTTCCTAATCGAATACATGACTGTCTTAATTATTATTCCATATAACCTTTATCTTAGCTGGCTCAGGCTGCCATGACAAAAAGCCATAGACTGAGGGGCTTCAACAACAGAAATTTATTTTCTCACAGTTCTGAAGTCTGGAAGTCTGAGATCAGGTGCTAGCACAGTGCACTTTTAACCCCGAAATCTCATGTATTAAAAAATGTGACTTGGGAAACACATAAAATGGTTATTTATTCTTGACCTTGATTTAGGTAGGTAGCATAAAACTCATAATATTTCTCTGACCTCTTCAGTATAATTCAACATAATTCATCTTGATGACCTCTTCAAATATATTCTAAGAACGGAAAGTTGCTACTTACATTTTTCTAGATAAATGAAGTAAATGAGATATAACAAAGACTGTTCTGCCCTAACTCAAGTTGGCTTCTCCACAAGAATATCGGAGGAATTAATTACAGTGTGTAAGGATAATAATACATTTCTCAACAGCAGAAAAGAGCTACCCTGCTCTTCATTCCAGGAAAACAGTATTTGAAGCTACTACCTTTAAGTAATGCAATATTTAGAACCATTAATGTTGACTTTTTAAATAACACAACCTTTTACCTGTAAATAAGAGAATTACCATTTCAAAATCTAAAAATGTTCATCTAATTTCAGAGTACTTTATTCAAATGTAAATAATCATTGCTTAGATTTCAATTCTTTACAAGATTTCAAAGATTAAGCAAGACCACAAAAGAGAAAAGATAGGTTAGTGGAGTTATGAAAAATCTAGGCTCAAGTAATAAAAAAATCCCTGGGAATATAGGACCACATTTTATATGAAACCAGTCATATTTAAGTCCTTTGGTTAGGAGGACAAAGGGGCGAAAAGATGTCTTCTATGCTTAATGTGCAAGAATCACGTTGCTAATGTATACTAGACATAAAGGGAAGAAGCAACTCAATCGTATTCTACAAGTTAGGAATTCTCTAAATATTTTCTCATATACTTTAGATTTGTAATATTCTATGTAAATGTATCTTATCTAATCCCAAGTAATAATCCCTATATTTATAAGCTCTGAAAGTCTATTTAAAAGTTGTTTGCTGAATATGTATGTGTATACATATATATTCTCTCTAAATTATTTATTAATGCCTTTCCTTGTTTCTGCCTTCTTACTTATGTACATGTATATAAATATGCATGTAGATACTTACATTATTGATTTAATAGCAGTAAATTTAATGGTAATAAATATAAAGATGTAAAATTACTTTCATTTCCCACGTTTTTTATAAAAAAATTATTTTTATAATTAAATTTTCAACTACTATTATAGTACAAAAATATATTACTAACTCTGTTACTCACAGTCATTTATCATCATATGTCTAAGAATTTCTAAGATTAAGAAATAGAAGAATATTTATCTCTTTCACTGTATATGTATATGCATGTCCATGTTTATTTACTTTTATTATAATAAAAAAATTCAAAATGGAACTATCATATAATTCAGCAATCCCACTCTGAATATATATCTGAGTGAAATGAAATCACTCTCTCAAAAAGATATTTGCACTCCCATGTTTATTGCAGCATTTTTCACAACAGCCAAGAAATGGAAACAACCTAAGAGTACATAGAGAGATGAGTGCATAAAGGAAGTGTGGTATATATATACACAATGGAATATTATTCTACCATGAGAAACAAGGAAATCCTGTCATTTGCAATACCACGAAGTGACCTTGAGGACATTATGCTAAGTGAGATAAGTCAGACAGAAAAATACAAATACCGTATGATATCATTTGTATGTGAAATCTAAAAAAGCCTAACTCAGGGGACAGCTCGGTGGTGTAGTGGTTAAGTGCATGTGCTCCGCTTTGGCGGCCCAGGGTTCGCGAGTTTGGGTCCCTGCAGTGGACCTATGCACTGCTCATCCAGCCATGCTGTGTAGGCATCTCATATACAAAAAACAGAGGAAGATTGGCACAGGTGTTAGCTCAGGGCCAATATTCCTCACCAAAAAAAAAGAAAAAGCCAAACTCATGAAAACAGAGAGTAAAACCCCAGGGGCTGGGGCTGGGGGAAATAGGAGAGACGTTTTTTAAGGGTACAAACTTTCAACTTAGTAGCTAAATAAGTCCTGACGATCTAATGTACAGTATAGAGAATATAGACAACAATATTGTATTATAATCATCAAACTTGCTAAGAGACTAGATCTTAATTATTCCCACCAAAAATAAGCAATGATAATTATATGACAAATTAGAGGTGCTAACACTACAATGGTAATAATATTACAATATATTGTAATGTATTGTATTGTAAATGTATCAAATCGAATGTTGTATACCTTAAACTTACATAATGTTATAGTCAAATATATTTCAATAAAAAAATTTGCTTTCCTTCTAAAATATGAAGATAATAGGAAAATTAATTAGATAATTTTCAATTTAAAAAATCTCCAGATAGCATATATAGTTTTGAATTATTTATATATGTTTATAAATATATATGTGTATGTATATTACATGATACTGTTGGACATAGATCAAACATTACATTAAAAAAATTAACACTTTATTTCTGATTTTCATGAAAAATACTGAATCATGTGAATCAAACAATCTTTACGGAAACTTTCATTACTCTGGCTGTCACTAGTCTAGTTTTTAACACATAATCAATGTTGCAGTTTTTTCCTGTTTTTTGTTTGCTTAGTGTTAAGGAAAAGCTGTTAAGTACAATATGCTTTTTTATACATGAAAGGTAGATGTTGAGTAATGTCAGCAAATACCTACAAAATTAGTTACAAAATGCAAATTGCAGACAGAAGGAAAAGAAAGGAACTAATTGTGTGTAGCATGATATGGACCAATAAAAAATAAAAATCCAGTACAATTGATTTTTGTTAGAGTTCAATATGTATTGGTTATTGTTTTACAAGGCAATCTCACCACTAAAATAAAGCAATATTTATTAAAAGATAAGTAGCCTGGATATTGAGGCAGTGTAGCTAATACTTTAGAGAGAGTATCACTATCTATTCTGTCTGTAATGACTTTTGCCTTCAAGGTTGCAAAGAATTAATACCATCCTTAAATACAAGAAAAGTCAGAGTTTCAGCATCATCAACTTTGTCAAAGTATAGTCCGACATTAAACGATTTTTCTTGTTCTTTTGTTGTTATTTATTTTGTTATTGAGCTGCAGGGTCAACGTATTTTTCTTCTGAATTATCAAAATAGAGTGTAGCTCCATTTATAGAGAATAAGCAATCGATAACTGGTACAATACTCAAATATTTTCACATCTTATCATCTTTTTCTGAATGTATACACTTTTTTGAATCTTTTTTGAAATTAGATGAAATTACTATTAAGAAAAGAGAAAAATTTATTAGAGCCATTGTCACTTCATTTCCAAATTCCAATAAAGAGTTCCACCTTTAGAGGATAGCACGCAGTCTCATACTCCACGCACCTATACTTTATGGAAGGAGTTTGCAAACTGTGTCCTGGCTGTTCCAAAGAGGTGGCTCTCTCAGGGTTCCTCCTGACCAAATAATTTGTGACATGTCAGTGGGAGTTCTAGAGCTTAATCAAATCACTTCACCTGAGTGACCTTTGTGAAATATTTGTCTTTCCCGATTATTCCAGGATCCCCTATACCTTAATATGAGGTTTTCTTTGTCTGTGTTTCCTCCTCCCTTACCCAGTC